TAAAAGTTTAATGTAGGGGATAGATACGTCATATTTCATTGTTTGAAGTGCTCTAGTTCGAAAATTATTTAGGTAGTACATTTTCCACTTAAATAACAGTAATGCTAGGTGTCAGCCAGGAATTATAAATCTTTTTAACAAGACATCCTGTTGCTCTATGAACTGTGTATTTAGTGTCGTTGCCAGTGCCATAACACACTGCTTATAACTATCTACGACTATGGAAAATAAAACACAGACAGAGAGCTCAGAAGAATGAAAGCAACAATTACTATGTTTGGTCAGTCAGGTCTATCAAGTCTACCATGATTCAGGTACAAGTTTATTTCGCGATTTATTGTTCCGGCTAAATTCTATTCAAATTCATTAAATTTACTAGGGATAGTGTTAGTGTAAAGAATCTGCAAGTAAAAGATGATGTTTTATTTGATTTTCTGGGCAACATGATTAACGTACATACATTAAGTTATTATGAAGTTATTCTGTAATGACGATATCAGCTTACTATAATGACGCTATTTATAACTCTCTGTCTTGCAAACTTTATTATCGGTATGCACCTTGATATTACTACTGACCGTTTTATTAGCTTGAAACATAATCATGCAAACAATTGACTTCAACCGCACAGGATAACAGGCAATGCATGATGAGCTTCCCAGTGGTTGATGGCTAACTCTAATGTCCTATTTTTACAAATTCTCTAGTATTCCTTAAGCTTTTTCACTTTAGAACCTTCACTTTCTCCGAGCTGAATTTATATATATATATATATATATATATATATATATATATATATATATATATATATATATATAACTGGTTTCGCCAACCGTTAATGCAAACATATGTGCATCAATTATTTCACTCAACATAGATTGTTATTTATAATAAAAATTTTATTCGTTCCCAGTGAAATAAATGCATAAAAGATGTTCTTCACTTTTTCTATTGGTTTCCCTGTTTAGAATAAATTGTCTTCAATAATATTATTACTAACAATAATAATGTAGTATTATTTATACAATGCCAATGATACTACTAATTATTCTATTAATAATATCGGAAATAGTAATTAAACACTTATATCAACACTTATTAAAGTTAACAATTTAATTTTTATGAATTGTGTGATAAAATGGGAAATGAAATTCCAAAAATAAATTCTACTTTTTAACTCTTTCTTTTTTCCTCTTGAATAATTTTATAATTACAAACTAGAGTACAAAAAATGCTAGACAGTTAAAAGTAGTCGAGTAAATAAAACGAATGGCTACAATGCAACATGAAAGACAAGATATAATCAGCACTAACAGTTAGACAATAAAGATATTAAAATAGTGAATCGATCATGGTTAGACCACCACTAGAAACCTGTGTGAACTGAGTGGCATTTTCGTCATGGCATGGGACGCATCAGCAGTGCACATCTACGACCCTCACGCATGGTAATCGAGTCCAGAACTTCCGGTCTCGCGTTTGAAAGCTTAACGTCTAGACCACTAAGCCGGCACCCAACGGCGTTAGTGTCTAACTTCTATCAGTCCAAAGTTTTTAATGATCGCCAAACAATAATCTATTCACTATTTTAATGAAATTTAACAATCTCCATAACTCTTATAATGAAAATCATAAAACGTGCCCACTGCTGTCTATATTCGTGAGGAAATTCCCGGTGTTCTGACGAGAAGCAGTGACCTGGAGAGTTCGAATTTAGACACTTACGCCGTTGCGTGCCAGCTTAGTGGTCTAGACATTAAGTATTCAAATGCGAGACCGGAAGTTCTGGACTCGATTACCATGCGTGAGGGTCGTAGATGTGCACTGCTGATGCGTCCCATACCAGGACGAAACGGCCACTCAGTTCACACAGGTTTCTAGTGGTGGTCTAACAAAGATCGATTCATTATTTCAATGAAACTTAACAAACTCGATAATTCCATGACGAAATACAAGATATCAGTTACTATTCAATGATCAATCAATGGGTAAATATACTACAAAAATCTGACTACCGTTTTATCTATAAATCAAAATAGGACAAACTGTTCAAGCACAAATTCACATAGATATCTGACATTTTTATATGAGCGTCAAACTTAGTCTTTTGCTTACTTGCATTAATGAAAATTGAATGAGGATTTTTTTACGAAACATTGCTGCTTTCATTCATTCATTAATGAACTCTTAAGTATTATTAATAGAATATTAAGATTTATGGCGAAAATAATAACAGTGTGAATCATAATGTTGTCAGATTTTACTTTCAATTTCTTTAAAACATTAAATCATCTTGTCTAGTGTGTAAACTAACTCGAGCGAAAAATAAGTGTACTCGAAATGAATTTGTACTTAATTTAAACAAGTGTAATACTATTAGCATTCACATTAAATCTAACTTTCTTTAATACTAATATGTAGTCTTTCATGAAACAAACACAATGAACTTGTATCTCAACACTACTTAGTTATGAATCAAAAGTTACAAAATCTACTGGTCTCCTAACCTTCTGAGAAAAGCTTCCAATTGCCAAACGTAAACACAACTATTTCTAAATTTCGCTTACGCTCAATATTCAAGACAAAATTATATTTAGGTAACGTAATCGTTTCAAATTATATGTGAAGAAGAAGAAGAACTGGAAGTTAGGAAATTAACAGTCAGAAATCATGTTTTACAACCAATCAAATATACACATATAAACCTATTATTAACTACATCCTAATAATATCTCAATAGAGGTTTGGTCTTATTTTTATTATTGTAATCTATAGAATTCAGTGAATAATTGATCGTCACTTGTTCACTTCTTTAACAACAGAGTATTATTATTACTATTTTACAATACCCGATGTTCACTTTTTACCCAACTTGTACGTGCTTTAATCTGACTTGAAAAAATCTACTGATTATTTTAACTCTCCGACAATCTATGTAAAATCGATATCAATTATTATAAATAGCAATTATTGAACATTATACAAAATTCGAACTACATTAGTGAACACAGGTTAGAATATATTTCACTTTTCGATCTGTATATATAACAAAACAACTAATTCAATGAAATAGAAACATAATTTCTTGATTTATTGATTCTTACCGAATGAAAATCTCCTTTTCATTTAATAAGTGTAAGCAGCGACATTAAATAAGTGAAATTCATTTGAATAATGATTTTTTTTTCTCTGCTTTACTTCTATCTCGATTAGTCTAATTATATGTAAACATATATAGTGTACTTTTATACTGTAATTATCTTGATTATTTTCTCTGCATCAACTGTAGCATAGTTACACATGCAAATGAGAATGAGGAAATGACAATTTGGTTTAAAGACATCGTGATATTTCAGTGACAATAATTTGACGGAACTTTCAAGATATCAACATTTACTAACATGAGTTTACCATTCGCTAGCTGATTCCAAGTCTTGAAATCACATTATTTTGCATTAATATATATGTATATCGACTACTGTTTGTTGCTCACGAAAATCAAATCTCCTATTCCCTTTTCAAGCACTTTTACTCACTTAAATACTTACGCGTTACCCTCAAAGGAGCACAGACCGCCGACTAGTATTCTCCAACCTACTCTGTCCTGGGCTTCCTTTCCCACTTCTATCCAATTTTTGTTCACTCTCCTCATGTCTTTCGCCATTTCTTGGCATAATGTGTTTCTTGGCCTTCCTCTTTTTCTTTTACCTTTAGGGTTCCATGTGAGGGCTTGCCTTGTGAGGCCGAATAAAATCATAAATTTGATATCACCTAGTGCAGATAGAGTAACAACACGGTCTACGCTTCTTGTTTCTCGTAGCCCTGATGCTGCTTCCCACAACCTCGCTGGTGAAGGTATGGTATTAAGTCGTCGGGCAGAACTAGGTCTTTTAGACTGGATCCCGGTAGACAGTCACTTATGCACTGACTAAACGGACGGAAAATTCGCCGGCGCCTCTTCTTCGCAAATGCCTACGCTCCCACTGACTACAGCTCAGACGAGGTAAAAGATGAGTGTTACAGAAACTTCTATAAAATTCTTCAAAAAGTTAAGCGCTTTGATATAGTAATAATGGCTGATGACTTTAATGCTCAAGTAGGTAGACTCAGTGAAAAGGAAAGACACCTGGGTAAATCTTATGGTGTTGCAGCTAATAGAACACCTAATGGCGACCGTCTACTGCAACTATGCTCAGATAACCGACCATTTCTAGCTAACACTAACTTTAAACATAAGGTAAAATATCTTTTGACCTGGCGACCCACATAGCAAACCCAAAGATGGACCAGACTTGATCATATCGCTATAAGCCACCGGTGGAGAGGTTCTGTTGAAGACTACCGCTCATTCTGGAGCACTCGTTTAGACTCAGACCATGCTCTAGTGCGAGCGCGTATTTGCGTCTTATCGGACGTAAGAAAAATATCTCAAGGAAACCTCTTAGGGCCCAACTTAATGCTAATAAAGCTAAGAATATATTTCAGGAACAACTAGAAAAACAGTTAGGCGACCACGTAAGTGATCTCTATCCGGAGGCAGGTAGGAATGATATCAAAAAGGCTGTGGAAACACCACTGATATCTGCTAGTAAGATAAACCATAAAGTTAGGGAGCAGAATAATGGTGAAAGCTTCATGACTAAACTATTCAGTTCAAGGAACAACAATCCACCACTTGAGCTAAAAATGGTCGACACTATGTGAAGATCTATAAGGTGCATTTGCTAAAGACATGAAGAGAATGAAATAGTTGTCGGTATCAAGTATGTAAGAAATGAAAGCTAAGAATAACTCGCTGTGTGGTTAAGATATACTAAACTCCAGATTAATTAACTCAGATGCTTACCATAAGCAGAACGATCCCATTTAACAACCATAATATATTTCCTGGGCAAAATTAGTCAAGCAGATATAAATTCTAGATAATAACACCAAGGTAAAGTTGTAGAGAGAAATATAAAAACACGTACTCAACATATTGAATAATCAATTCAGAGCATATTTTTAAAAACATTTTAGGTTGAACTATTAAAATTAAAATTACAATACTATAAGAAATTTTATTTTCAAAAAATTATAAAAATAGTTTTATGAAAGGCATATATCTAAGTGTTGATTAATCTGAGAAAGCAGAACAGTATGCGAGCAGTTAGGGCACAATACTTCTGATAAATCAACTGTTTCAATTTCATTCGATTTGGATTCGGTTAGTGTTATATCTTGACTGAATGAATAACCTTTTCCAAGGACATGACCTTTATCGTCACTAGGCCAAATATGAACTGATGAAGAACTGCTTCCACTGTTGCTCGGTTGACTAACAAACTCTGAAACGGAATCGTTTTTTTCATTACTGATAGTGATAAAGTTTCGAATATCACCACTCTTAATTTGTTTTGCTGAAAAAAAAGTGAGGAAAATTTTCATTGTTCATTGTTTTAATTTAAATAAATCATAAATCATTTAAATATATCATTACTGAATAAATAATTTATGGTTGTCAAGATTTCAGTTTACATTGAATCTTTTATATGAGTAAACTCTAAGTACATGACATATTATATCTCAGAAGAGACCTTTACTGAAATTAATCAGACAAAAGTTTAAGATTTAGTTCAGTGCTATTACAAATGCTTCAGATCCATTTGGTATGATCGATAGTAAACAGTCTGTGAAGATGATTCTTGTATCCTAATTCTTTGATTCTATAAACTTTAAAGTGCAGACTAGATTTTTTATCTATTCTTAGGATTTGATCATTTTCTTTCCACATTTCAACCACATGATTTTTCCTGTGTTTCGCTTAAAATGATTAAAACTTAATGTATATCAGCTAATATCCCAATTATAATGCTAGGAAATATAATTCAGCCAATATTTTAAATGAGTAAGACTAGCTATAACAATCAGTTTTTACACTTGTATACTGAATAAAACACTGAAAAGAATAACATTTCTATTAAAAGAGATAAGTCGACAGAAAATAACATATATAATAGACAACAAAAACTAATAAATTTGAACTAACCGTATTGGTTTTGACTCATAAACATTAAAGTAAAGCGTTGACTTTATTGATAATAACAATGATGAATGGTTATATAATTCCCAAAATTATTTTATGTACGATACTTAGGGCTAAACATAATGTGCAATAGTGTACTAATAAAAGCCAAATACGAAATGTGATGGAAGAATTTACTTCGAGCATTTATGTATGAACAGACAAACAATAAATGGAAATAGAATAGTTGGAGATAGAAGGCAATGAGAGCCTATTTAAAACGTCTAAGTATAAATAATAAACGTACAAGATACAAGTAAGGATATACACATAAGCGTACACATAAAAACGTTCAAGGGGAAATCATATTAATGGAAGGTCATAAATTTCTTGACCATATTAGAATAATTTATCTGATTAAAAGTTACAATGAATCTACGTGAGAGTTATGATAAAGAAGCCGCTATAATATATTGTCTCATAAAAACCACACATGGATACTATCATTAACTGCAAGTTAACGCCATACAAAGGACCTGTAATTTTAACATTTTTCTCAGTAAACTCACTAGCGTAATGATTCATAGGTGTTTAATGGTAAGTGCACATTTCAATCGTCGCATTTGAAGGATGCTAAAAGTTTTATAGGTTGAGTTACTTTTCTTACTCAAAATAATTCTGGTAATTTTACCATTTGATAGTTGTGTATCAAAGATACTAGGAAACAAAAAATAAGTCTTCCCAAGATCTTAAGCTCCTGTAATCACTTTCCACAAACGTATGACAGAGTAGAATAAAGTATCTTACTACACGATCAATCTAATATTCGTTTATATATGTCGACAGATCACAAATCAAAAATTAATCCATGAAAAATAGTAGACAGTAGGTTAGATTCATAATTACGACTATGATATTAGTATATAGGAACGAGATAGTTTAAGACTCAAAACAAAGGTTATTCATCTAGTCACCTCAGAAGACAATTATATATAAGTCTTCGGATAGTCCTTAAATAACGTCATTACATAGGTAAGTAGCATGAAAAGAATAAGTATCTTATTGGATTCTAACAGGAAATTCATGTGATAACATGATCTGTTAAACAACAATAAAATTAATTAAATTTCATGGCCAAGCTTTAGCAATTATAAAAACTTTTAATTGATATAAATGGCAACCTTGATCAATCAGGAAACAGCAAATGTGAATGGATGAGTTATGATTGGGACATGAGGTGTGAAATTTAGGATTCTTGCACTATGTCATTACGTGATAAATATCTAAGCATTAACTTCTAACCCTAGTTCCTAACTCTACTATAATAAATGTGATATGAGTCATTTGTACATTCACTAATAGCTCAGTGTAATGTTAAAACCAAATAAATAGAGCAAAAATCAAACTCCAAACCAATCGGTTGAATAAAGGGTTATCTGATCAATAACCCACTGTTTCTTATCTTTGATAGGTTATTTGTTAAAAAGCGCAAACGCATATTTTATCAATCGAATGTTTTTCACATAAATCAGTGTTTTATTCCCCCTACGGTATAATACAGCCATATGGATAGCACTTGATGCTTGATTATGTGAATATCTCGATCAACTAATCACTGGACAATAGAGTGGTTAATATCTTACCAATCGATTACCTTTTAACAATACAAAAGATAAATCCATAAAAATTCATGTAATACAATGGAACTTGGAATTACTTGATGTGATTTGGTCTTTTGAACTGTTTTCAAATGATGCTTTTCGTTTAGATGGAACTTTTTTCTCAGGTTCCTTGATTTTTACAAATTTACCTATCACAATAAAACAGTATCAACAACAAAAAAAGAAAAACACTAGAACATTTTCTCTGAATTTGAATGATCAATGGAAAGATATGCTAATTTAAGCTGCTCAATATGAAATTATAAAGTTATAATACAGTATTAGAATAATTTATTAAGCCAAGGAATCCTTCTTAAAGAGTTCATTTTTAAAGCTGTGCAATAGTATACATATGTAATAAAATAATAGGTCAATGAGTAATTATATTCATTGAAATTTGATTATTTATGTGAAATTCAACAAACAGCTATTGAAGAAGAGGGTTTACCAGAAAGAATAAATAATTAGTGGGGTTAAAAATATTACTATGTGTATCGTGACGTTAAAACGAAGATGTGTTAATGGTAATCAAGATACCTAGGTGAAATAATAATAATAATAATAATAATAATAATAATAATAATAAACAGGAATAAATCAAAGACATTTTAATAAACGTACATGGGAAAAAGGGACGAGTCAAATAAGTTATTTTTGTACTTACCTTCCCAGAAAATGAATACTCATCGACATTCAGAGACAAGTTTACAAGAGAAACAGAGTTACAAATCAAATCTATAGTTAACAAGAAATAACTATTTATAAGTCTCCAGTTTATGAGAGATCGTGTTGATGATTTACAGAAGAATCGTTGTAGAGATCACTTAGAAAAACTGCTATAGCCGTTCTATCAAGCAGTCCATGTAGTAATAAGCTGCCAAGATTATCCAACTCAATGTGGATATACCTGTTTATCTGCTTCTATGGAGTTAATTATGAAAGTTATTCGTCAAAACTACTTCCTTGTTGTATTCACGATTATCTACCTGTACGGCTTAGCAAAGATTAACAATATAACTTCAAAGCTACTGTAATACTTGAAAGAGAAAATCACTGCAATTTCCATAGTGCAACTGAGAATACAAAAAGTGAAGTAGGTGAAGATTTTATCGACTCTTGAAAACACATTGACTTTAACTCAGAATACATCTTTCACAGTTCATCTTTATGAATAATAGATGATTAGTTCACAAATATCACCGGAAAGTGAGAAGGTGAAGTCTCACTTACAGTAAAGAAGTGAAACAGAAGTGAGGTGTTCCCCACAAATGGCTAATATCTAGAATGATGCTGTCTTTCGATGGACAAAGGGGTTAAAAACTGTTGAATCTGATAACAGCACACCTCACTTTGTCTCATGAATCCCAGCTATCTGTAGCAAGCTTCGAAAAGTACAGAGTTAATCAATAAAGGCTACTCACAAAAGATTTGTATGTGATCTACTTTCAACAATGTTCCTTGAGCTTTCGGGTAATGCTCCCAGGTGATTGAAACCACACCTGATCGTTTCCCCTAGAAGTCTCACAAAGTACTACTCCTGCACTTTGCAAGTAACCGAGAAGTGATGGCCATCTTTATAGTACCTCAAATTGGAAAATCCTCTATTTGTTTCAATGGAAATCCATAATAAGTATCATCTCGATAGTGGTTGGTTACTCTATTGGCATAAAACAATAATATCAGTTAACTTATGTCCGGATAAGTAGTTTTCTATTATGATCCAACATTGACCTTACATAACAGACCACGAGCTAAACCTACCATAAACAAAAACTTATTAATAGGATAATCAAAGGTAAATTACGTTACGGGAATAAAGGAAATTACATTGCAGGTTATCTTTACAAAATGGCAGACTGGGAAAAAATTCATTGTGTAAAAAATGGTCGCGATACACATTGATTTGTGCATGTTCTACCGGTTAATCTATGCTCTGAGTAGGATTTATCGCTCTTGAAAAACTAGATAAAAACGACTACAAAATTATATTGAATAACATTACTTTTCATTTCCAGAAACTGGGCGAATACTTTACCATCAAATTCTGAGAGCGGTGAAAGCGAAAGATGATCAAAAGGTAACAAAAACATTATTAGACTGTAATGCTGCGTTTTGTAGAGACTAGCCAAAACAACAAGGTGACTCAATATCCCCTGAGTCAACACTACATATCCATGTGCAAATTTTAATATATTACAAGTCAATGAGTCCTAGTTGTCACGTTTACTAAGAAAGTCATTTGCAATTTAAATTTGCCAATGATTCAAAATCAACATGTATTACTACTATTTTAAAGCAATCAGTCAATTTTTTGAATGCGAAACATCAAAAAACCCAATTTAAACTACGACATACTTAAAAGTAGACGCTAAAGCTTTTTTTCGAAAAGTATAACAATGCTGCAGAAAGATAATTACAATCAAAGACTAAATCATACTTATAAAACAATAAAAACTAAAATGATGGCAGCAAATGCAACAAAGCGCTTAACCACAAGCTTACCTATACATGTAGCTTGATGCTGACTCCACCAAGTATCCTTAGGACCAGGCACTCTATTCATAGAACGTTTAACATAGCCGAAGTATGGTGGACGGTCACGACATGGACCGGTACAACGCCACCAATGAGTGCGATACGTATCAACTTCATCGTGAAATGAATGATAAACCTAGACACATAGCATAAATAAATAGTCTAAAACAAATGTTTACTGATAAAAGTTCTAATTTCAAAACGTCAATCACCAACCTGTTGCCAATGAAGAGGTAAACCATATTAACAGACCTAAGGTAAATAATATGGTGGTCCACAATTAGATTTACCTAACTATATATCATTCAGTTATCTTCATAACTTGCAAATAAAATTATTCAGCAACTTTTACCCAACACTAGGTTGAATACAGTCACTGGTTAGACTTCACGTAGGACTTGTAGGTGCCAAAGTTATTCAATAGCTCCCTTGACTATTAATTATTGGATCAAATATCCATTCAAAAGAGCGCAAGAAAGGGCGAGAACTAACAAGAGCGATCATCAAAAGTATTAATTAAGGTAATAATTGAAGTTGAGGATCACATTTTTGAAGAAGTGGAAGATGTTTGATTCACCCTCTGTGGCAGTTGGTAATTTTGAGGCACATAACAAACATGCACCGAAAAAGATTATGGCAAGAATTTTCCGGTTGAATTTCCGTTGTCTTTTTCCTCGAAAATACGTTTGGCAAATATTTTAATCACTCTGTTTTTGTCCTCAGTGGTTTCGTACGATAAAATACTGTTTTCGTATCCTAAGAAGTCAGTCAAATTGTAATGCTTAAAATTGTTCAAAATTTCAATTATCAAGTTAAATTGTGCTTCAATTTGTGAATAAGTAAATAACAGTATAGAGGCATATCTCTGAGGATAAACATATGTCAACAGGTACTGATCAATTGTAGTGCTGAACATCAAAAAACTAGACAAGAGAAACCCTTACAAACAATACTTACTTTACAGTTCGATAAATAAATATGACAAAATTTTTATGCATAGAATTGTGTTTGAGTTTTATATTCCCATAATATATGAAAGGAATTGACTTGTAAGGAATAAATATCTAGTTGATTCAATTCTTGTTGAAAAATTAATGTTGAAATTAATATTCTCCAGTCCACAGTTATCATCTAAATCTGAAATTTGTAGTCATATTTTGTGTTAGTCGTCATTGGTCCTAACAGCGGTGTTTATCATATAAAGCCATACGTACATTTTCACATCGTATTCATCGTTTTTATGCACTTGGGTGTTACTCTACCCTGACAGGCAGTGTGTGCTCGAGTATAAATAGATTAACAGAAAGCTAAGAGCGTTTAAACCATAATGGCGCATCAGACTTTTGGTCTAAGCCATGTCGCTAAATGAAATCGACCTCCAATCAGTTAGTCAGCGACTAAGTAGACTTGTGTCCTTTCCTATACACTGGAACAGTTAGCAATTAAGACCAGTTACATGAGATTACATCTAGTCCCCAGATCCCAGCTAAGATACCAGTTAACCTAACTTCTAAGATTGGACCAGCACGCTAAAATATCAGGGGTTAGTCCATCAAGTCCTGCTGCTCTCCCTCGCCTTAAATTTTCCAGTCTTTTCAGCATCATTGAGAGTTAGAGGAATTACATCAACTTGCCGTTCAGGTTGACCGGAGATGGTGGGTAGGCGAAGTGTGGCTGAAGGCCAGTTAGGCTACTCCCTAAGATGATGTTCTGTTCATCGACCCAATCTCCTGGATTGAGCTGCACTATGCCCAACTATACTTAAAAAACCAGCTATCACTGTGTATAGTAATCAACAATCAAACGAAAACCACTGGTCTCCGAAACGGCAGTTATTCCTGAATGGTTGAATGGGATCAATGTAGAAAATCTCCAGATCGAAGTAATATTATGAAGGTTTCACGAAACAATAATAAAACACCATTTGTGTAAGAAGCCTAAGTAAGAAGTCCAGTTTAACATTATTTAGTTTGAAATTTGGTGCATAATACATTATCTAACCCATCAATTTGAACTGAAAATTGGGTCTCTGTGCTAATGTGGTATGGCAACCTGGACTTATGTATGCACCTACGAAGTTCTACGCGGCAACTGACTGACTGACAATTTAACCCATAAAGATAGACTTACACGTCATTTTTTCCATCAGGAGCTTGGAACCCATCTAGACCACTGATTTAGAACCACGGTTTTCCATCTCCTCTAGGTGGATCTTCTGTAACTTCCAGCCCGGTCAAAGCGTAGAACATTCGCTTTTCGTCCTCTCAATTTTAAAAGTACCAACCCCACCTTCAGAAGGTAGTGAGTAGGACTTCCCTGGCGGTGGTTAAATACGCATGGACATATGATGGCGTTTCGAGGAATGGACTTTCTCCACTCTTGGCGTATCAGAGCATTTGGAGGCTAGAAAAAAGTTGTTCAGGACAGGAATTTGTTGATCCTTCACAAATATCTCGTTGTGATCCTCGAGATCGTGCGACTCAGTGACCTGAGACGTTATTAGACAATGTTCAGAATATAAGCCAGTGGTGGTTTTGCTGCGACTTTCTTTTATTTTTTACGTAAAAAAGTAACTTAAACTGAAAGAATTCTTTCTGATTATATTTTCCTTATCTGAACTGTTTTCCAACTATTATTTTTTTCCATTGTGTTACTCATCGTTTTTTATTTATTCATAGCCTTGATTTTATTGTGATGAATACATATTTTGGTGCCAACCAGTGCCAATATTTGTATTTTAAATAAATAAAGCAGAATCAGCTTAAAACACAACGAAAACGAGATTCAACGCGACTCCCCATATCCATCCATGAACTGGCGGTTAAATCAAAGGCCCGGTTGTTTTAGTTATCGTAAAGCTCAGTGAACAAAGAATCCAAATTTAATCGAACATAGATTAAGTGCCTAAGTATCACTTTTCAAAATTTATCAAAGGTCAACGAGATCATACTTAATGAACAAAGCAATAACATTTGGGATAACAAGTCTTGGACTCTGGCGCCAAATGTATTCACGCAAATGATTAAGGAATATTTTAGCATTATACGTATTTTCAGTTCGAAATGAGAACCACCAGCTCGAATTTCAGCTCCAAAACTCTAGTTCTAATTCCTTTAACTAGTTTATGACTTAACCCTAGTTAGTGGGTCACTTTATCGTACGTAAATTATTGTCTCGCTCAATAAAACGTTATGTTGCAAACAAGAGGATGACATCGAGACACTTTTAAGGGGCCGAAAAAACGAAGTACTAACATTAATTTATTTCCAAGATCAAAATAAAATTACCCATTAAGTTGATAATATGCACTTCGAAATAAATCAGAGATTTATAGATGATATTACCGTTATATTAACACCAGCCAACGAATTGATGCGACGCATATGAGATATGAAATTGGGCCCATGATCATCCCGATCCTAAAGATACAGATCAGAACGCAGCTAACAAACCTTGTCCCTCCTTGTTACGAACAAAAATGCGTGAATCATCTCATGCTACGAAAATGATTAATATAGGTATATCATACCAAAAGAGTCTCCACAAGATCTTTGCGTGGTCTGAATTTAAGAAGGGGTTCACTCAAGCTGATAGAACATAGTCCATAAGGCTTGTGAAATTTACAAACGCCTGCGCAAAGAGTCATCCGAGAGCTCCATTTGACTTCTACACCACCGAGTGAATTCCCAAAGAACTGACTATCGAACGAAGAAAACAGCAATCTAATGTCTGGTAGGGGGTCCAATAATTCCCAAACAGGATCAGCCAAACAATTTAGAGATAGTAAGTTGTTTTTCTTATCGTCGACCGGTTCCTTCAGTTGAATAATAGTAAATAGAAGAATACCTTTCCTTCAGTAAGGATACTTGAGTGACCTATAGAACCATATTTATTAGTTTCTTCTGATAACGAATCTTCATCTGACCACATAAATATCTACCGCCAATAAAGACTCGAAAACCGGTTAGTGCAAAAAACAACCTTGAGAACAAAATCCCCTCACTTGATACTCATTGACATTCAGTATCAAATAGCGACTATCATTTGACCTCTTTTAATCATTTCATTATCTATCACTTTGAGGATTAAGCTTGAGAAAAAAGCGTTAAACAACAGGAAACTGATGTCCCATAGATGAATGGTCCAGGTTACATCCTGATAACACTCAAAAGTATGATTAATTACATCAACAAAGTGTAACCATGTGAAACGAGAGAAGTAATGTACGTTTTTTGTGGATCGAAGGTAACCAATTTCATGTAACAGTACAGATTACCATTCTAAATTTCCATACTTAGACGATGGCCCACCGTGGAATTACGCCTGGTCACTTGACAGACCTTCAGTTCCATGATACAGTAATATCACGTTGTACAAAGTAAGCTTAGTAACTGCCAAATAATCATTAAATTGCAATATTTGAACACGTAACCTATCAGACTGCGTTCTTCTCCAAGTAACAGTGACATAGGTGTAATTGATGACATTACTGGGACAAATAAGCAGTGGTAGTTGATTTATAATCTTAACTGTATGGTTATACTAAACTGTGTCGAATGAGCAACCTTCGATTGTGTTCGTTGACTGAAGTTATGCAGTGATGAAGTTTGGACTGATCAAAGGTATGTGAGTCCGCTTTTATGAAGAAAACGATATTATTTTAATAGAAACATTCATTAATTTAACATTTGAACTCGTATACGGCACGACACTACGTCTACCCGGAAATACTCCACACCACTGAGATTACGTCCAGACGATAGTTTCCTGTCCCATTCATTTTCAGTTTAGTAGTACAATGAGAGAAAATCACTTGATTAATAGTCTGTTATTACTTAAGCACATTCCGATATTTAAGAAGGTTAGAATTACTCATCACAGTACTACAATCCAACGTCGAATCACTAGAGAACTGCATAGAAAGCAGCCCAATCTATACTTTAGTAACAGATACGATCATAACTTCCGCTGCAACCTTACAATCATTTCCCTTACCCCTCCCAGAACCGAAAACAGACAAGGTGTGACAACCAGCCTAAAGATCAGTACTGTGAAGAAATTAATTGCAACCATTCGTCTCGAACTCAAACTTTTAGTTTATCTCAAACCTTAAGTCAATTGCACCTCAATAACAACGTAATATCCTCCTAGCGATAATGATAAAAATCCAGTGACTCGGCCAGGCAGAAATTCTCGTAAGAAGTATGCTACACTCTGTTGCCGTCCACTAACGATGTCCAACCAGTCTAGTATGTAACAACGCCTGGCCGCTGCTAGTTCAACTCAAGACAGTAAGCTATTCAGAGTAAACCCCAAAAGTCCCAAGAATCAAGACACCTCCGTTTCCAGTAACTTCGGGAATTTCTATATCTCTAACTTAAAGCACACTATCCCCTTAGTTACCCACAATAAGGCTAGAATCTCCAGTAGAGCATGAAAAATCCATAGCCCTAGCCTACTTGATCATCCGCCTTATGTTGCTAGACACCGCTTTAATCAAAATACCTTATACAACTCTTGCCTCCCTCCTTTGAAACTAAGTGTTTAGGGAGATTGTCGCTAATCAAGTTTTTGAATCAATGCAGCTTACTACAATAATGATAATAATGATATTGATAATATTCCTTATTCCCGATTCCCGGGTATCGGTTTCCGAGAATAATGCCGACTAGAGAATAAAATTCATCTTCTAGGGTTCAAATGACCACGTCGAATACCCAATAATTGAGTAGTGACGATCGACTGCTCCATGCCATGAAGTCGATTTCAGTCAACGGTGACCCTGTGACGTCCAATTTTTTGCTCCTTGATCCTTAGAAGCACTGTGTGTCAATCTATTTGCAATTCACCAACCCAAATCAAGGTGAAACCAAAGTCCAAAATTAGGTACCAAAGTTTATTGTCAATTCACAAATAATCGACCAAAATGTCTTCGGTTTATTACAAATAGACGACCAATGTCGTTCTAACAACAATAATTATAATAATTACAATTACCTTCTATTTTATATATTCCTGGAGCAAAAAACTGCAAACGAACAACCCAAGACAAACAGGAGTCCAAAAATGGCCGAAAATAATAATTCAAACAAGTTCATGAGTTAAGTAAAACAAATATACCCAAAAAACACAGTGAAATTAATGATATTTATGTAAAGGTTTTGATCAGCAAAATGTCTTCATTTCTCCTGTAACAGACCCTACTTACGAAAGACCGGTATTACTTAACAACAGAACTGAAAAGCAGGTTTAAACATGCAGATAAGTCAAATAATAAAGACAGTTGGATAGATTCATTAGTACACAGCGATAGCCTCACGATGCCGGAAACTTCAAGAAGGGAGTCAAAATCATAAGTTGATTACAGATTGATCTCCACTGCTTCTTTGTCTTAGTAATGCCATCAACTTCAACCTTGTCACTATTACTTGGAGAAGACCGAAGTCTGATAATTTACGTGTTCAAATATTGCAATTTATTGCTTATTTGGCGTTTTCTTGCAGTTAATAAGCCTACTTTGTGCAACGTGACATTACTGTACCATGGAACTGAGCTTCTTTTACCTGGCCACGCTAAAAGTTCAAGTAGTTCCTCAGTTTTTAAATGAATTAGGTATCTGTTTTTCTTCTTGTATATGATTTATTGTATATGATCAAGTTAAGCGAGCTTTCCACTTCTTTCTGCCATCAGTTTCGGTTATGCGTTAGAATGTGATTTCTGAGTCTTGATTATTAAAATATTGTTGATATTCTGTATTCATCTACAAAGATTTCACTAACCCAGACTTGCGGTGACATAAAAAAGTCGGATTTTCTAACCTGGCACCTAATGTTTCCCCTTGGAGGACCCTTTCATTTTCTTTGTAGGCGATTCGCTATATCGCGTTTTAAAAGTGGTGTACGATTTTGACGTGAGGAGAGGACCATTTTAAGTCGTGGATTTATTTATCAACCGGAAGATGACGTATGGAAAGTTAGTCAAGGTGTCGTATTTTCTTTAGATATAACATTACATTTCACAAAATATTGAGCTAACCACAATTGAGAGTATCTACAATCAAATTTCAGTTGTCGGGATCAACTGATAGTAAATACGCTTATCCTTGAGACTGACAGGTCATGCTTATCTTAACAACCTTCACATTGTAATCAGTCTTACACAGATATTCTACGGAAAATATAATGATGAAATTATGATAATTAGAAGTATTTGTATTTTAGGATCAAGAACTACGAGATGAGCACAAACGAATGTACTGTATTTAGAATTCGAAATCAAGCACTCGAAAACCACCAAGAAGTCACTAGTTCATTCAAACACCACATCCGCCACAGCTTAAATTGGAATCCAGGTGTCTGTAATCAATCGTACGTCTTCTTCTCAAATTCATCGTGTGTCTGTCCGACAGTGTATTGGATAAAGGCTCTGTGTTATCTAGAATGCTCTCATTAGTATTAGGATTAACAACCGAAATTGGAACAGACTCACCTGGTTCCTGGAATTGTATTTGATCAACATGTCGATTGTGTGTACTTAAGTCATTGATATCTAGAAGTCGCACCATAGATTTCCCGACATTCTTCAGAACAATGCCCGTGGATGGTCGAAGATCATTACCACGATAATATGTAACTTCTGCAGACTCCAAACATCTCATATTCGACCGAAGAATTCTTCCTTTTAATAGCTTTGATGGAGTCTATTTCGTCGCCGAATGTGTGGCATTTCTATATTGCAGTAGAAAGGTATCTACTCTCCTCTCCAGCTCATTGAATGTTGAGGCGGCAATAGAATCAATAGCAGTTTTCAACGTCCTGACAAAATTTTCTGTCTGATCACTGGAACAAGGATGTCTGGGAGCAGTAAACAGATGTTTGCACCTTATACCATTTAACCAGGTAGTAACTGCATCTGCAGCAAAATGAAAGCCGTTATCAGTCACTAAAACCATTGGAACCCCTTCTCGACTAAACACCTTTCTTAATGCTTGAATTGTGAAGTCGGAATTTGGCGAAGTTGTGAAAAAAACTTCAGGCCACTTTGAAAAAGAATCAATGACCACAAGCGCATAGTATTTGCCAAGATACGGACCACAATAGTCTGCATGAATTCTCCGCCAGGTCTCAGACGATACTGGCCATGGAGTCCACTTCGAATGCTGATTTTTCAGCTTATGACACTTTTCGCAATTGTTTGCTGTACGACAAATATCTGCATTTATCTCTGGCCACCAACACGTGAGCCTCGCCAAGGACTTCATTTTCTCAACACCTAAATTTCCACTATGAAGATCTTCAAGGACAGATTTACTCAATGAAGGAGGAATAACAACACGATCATGTAAACACAAAATACCATCAGGAGTAGTGGATAGCTCATCCCGCTTTGAAAAATAGATAGGGAATCTACGTTTCAGATTAGCATTCCAACCTTTCCGTATAGCATTAATTATACATCCAAAGTTTCTACGAGTTTCTCTAATGAGATCTGGACGTTTCACTGGTAAAGGTTGCACCAACAAACAGTCTGAAGTATTAACAGATTTATCTTGTAATGACTGTCGAGAAATGTAGCCAACATGTTGAATTTGTTTGGCACTCCTCTGCTGAACCGTATAGTCGTAGGCACTCAAAGCAATACTCCATCGTTGAACCATAACAGCTGAGGCACGTGTTAAGGATTTTTCAGGATGATAAATAAACTGTTAAGCCTCATGATCAGTAACAATAGTGGTTTCTTTCCGAATAAATATTTCTGAAGTCTTTTAACAGCCCAAAAAAAAGGCTGATGCCTCTCGCTGAGTCTGTAAATAGTCCTGTTCAGTAACAGTAAGTTTGCGTGAAACACAAATAACTGGTCTACCTTCCTGTTCGAAAACTGCGCCAATACCCACAGGTGATGCATCAGTGATAAGCACAGACTGTACACTAGGGGAGTAAGTTCGAAGAACAGCATCACTTTGAAGAAACTTTAGTAGACTACGTAAGCACGACTCTTGTTCCTCACCCC